TTAATAATTGGTGCAAAAGGCTATCGTAGAAGCCGTTGGACAGAGAGAGGACAAAGCCTCGCTGTTGTGTTTGAACTAGACGTACGAATGCAGGAGTGACTCCTGCTTAGCCCCCAACAATAACGCAGAGAGAGAGAACACAGCTCAAGACAACAATCAGAATGTATTCTTTGATTGGATATCGATACGCAACTATATAGAACAAATCACGCATACGAGAACGCACAGTGACGCACTAATCAATCAGACTGCGTCCATGACTCATCGATTGATCGATTGGACAAACATTGGCTGATTCGTTCTGTGATCATCCAATCGGGCTCAGCCTGTCTGGAGCGTTGTGAACGTTCGTGTGGGCTGACTCGCAGGCGTGCGCGATCGGACGGGTCGCTTAAACTCTGTCCTAATACTCGCTATCTAGGGTTGATTCAACATACAAGATGCTAGGGGATGAAGAGAGAGAATGGGGGTGGGAGGGAGATTCAGAAGGAAGATTGCAACATGATATAAAACAGCAAGCAAGAGTTTAACATTACACTCACCCCCGCAGATTGTTTTGATTGATATTAGGCATGTGTGTATGTCGAAAATGTTTTATGCTTCTTCATCTCTCTAATTGTAGGAGTGGGTGTATTACTGTGCTTTTACTAACCGATGTATCTCAAAGTCTGTATTGTGTGGATCTGCGTTTTTTGAATAAGGGATAAAAACAGGTTCGTGGTGTTTGACTCATCAGAGCTTTTACTCTCCGTATGGGGAGGGACAGTTTTGAACGAAGCAAACTGGACATGGTTTCAATTTGGTACAAAATATTTTAACTTGCTAGTCTGAAATCTGTGATTCCTCTGCTCGATTTCTTTTCTGGCGCGTCCACGATACGATTTGACCACAGCAACGAAGTATTACACTGTTTTCTCTCTTTTTCCTAAATATTGAACTTCTCTCCCCCCCCCTACCTACCTCTCAATCAACAGCCGTTGGTCGATCTGTACAACGCAATCAAACAACGCGGTGGAGTGACACATTTGCGTCTGTGTGACACATGGTTCCGAACTATTCAGGTGCTACCAGAACGCACACATCCCGAAGTGAGCATGATCGCATCCGGTGGCTATTTGCTCACTGCTTACACTGTAGAACCTAAGCCGGGAAGCGTCCATGAATTGCTACAGAGCGGTCTGGTCAGTTCCGCGTTTTGGCATGAACTGGATGCGCCCGATGAATCTTAACGGTTGTCTCTCTTTTCTGTGTGTGATCACAATTCGGACCAAGAT